GCGTTTTCTTGCAAGGGGGATTATTTTCTTTTTCTTCAGGTATGCTCTAACTTTCCTGTTTAGATTAACATTTAAAAAATTATTTAATTACAAAATTAATTTTATAGTTATTTTCTAAATAGTATTAACTTTCTAGTGATATGATTATTTTGTAGAATAGAGCAAATATTTTGATTAGAATTTTTCTATAGGATAATTAATCTAATGATATGATGGATTAAAAATATAGGTTGAAGTTCTTAGAGGTATAATAAATATTATAGAATATTTTCTTAAGGTTGAAACTCATGTTTAAAAATTTTTGAGTTAAACTCTAGATCTATATAGTTGAATTTATGTTAAATCTGAGATGTAGAGATAAACATCTGATTATTAAATATTTATTTAAGTATGAATAGGTATTTTTGAGGCTATAGAAAGGTGATTTGAGGTTTCAAGATAATTTTAAAATTTTTAATTTATTTTTGGATGGATTTTTAGATATAGATGGATGAAATTGTGATATTAGAAGTGATTTGAGGCTTAAATATGATTTATTAAGGTATGAGAATTTTAAAAAAAGAATTTGGAAAGTAAATGAGGCATAAATCTTAAATTAATGTTGATATAGATTATAGATCTAAGACTTTCTAACTCTTTAATTAGAGTTATTTATTTAATGTAAAATTAATATATAGTATTATGAAATAATTATGTAGATTGTGTTAACAAAGATAGTGGTAAAAAAGGAGTTGTAAAGGGAAACTTGTTATTCAAGACACAAGGTAACCATTATTAATGTGTTGTGATGAGTGTGTTTGTGAATGGTTATATGTTGTCTTATTGTTTGGAAAAAATTATGAATTATTGAAAATAGATACTATTATATACTTGTTTGAAATTATTGCCAAGTGGGTTATAAATTTATTTTTTTGTTTATCATGATGAGATATTATTGTTCGGATATATTTTTGTTTGGATATTTAAATGATGCATGACTTGTCAGGGTATTTTAATATATGCTGTTATTGGGAATTTCTGTTCGGTTAATTATTACCACATGGTAAGCCCTCATTGGACTCAATGAGTGGCGTGTCGCTTGGTCCAACTCATCTTTGGCCGGGTGATTTGGCGTCCGAGCATGGCGAAAGGAGGATATAAGGTGTAGTCATGCAATTAAATACTTGTTCGGTTTATTTGAAAATATTGTTCGATTAAATGTTTTTGTGTGCCCACTTAGCAATCACATGATTAATTACATCCGCATGTATCATTATATATTAATTTTTGGTTACTGGGACTTTTAAGTCTCATTCCCTGTGGTTAATATTTTTACAGGAGAGAGTCCGGCCGAGAAAATACCAAAGGTGTAACTTTGGTGTATGAGACACCATCTTTTACGTTACCTCTCATTTTGTATTATGCAATGTATCTTGTGCCAACCTAGGACATTTCTTATTTTGACAATATGTAAACTCTAATCCTTTTTATTAAATGTATTTATATAACTAAGAGGATTATGTTTGTCCCTCTTGATTCATGACCTGATTTAAATATCATGCCATGAGGATCCTGTCTGTCCCTCATGGTTCTAATTGCTTTTTGAGATATTTTAAGACTTGTGGTATATTGTCTTGGATGTATCATGGTAGAAATTTTTCTACCATGATAAGGGTATGACAAGGGTTCAATGAAAAAAAATAATTTGTTGAATTAATAATTTGTGAAAAATCGATTTATAAATTTCAGGATGTTACAAGTAACAATAGAAGTTACTAACAAATTATTAGGATATACATGTATTTTTACAAATAAATAGCCTCCTGCTCACTTGGAGGTCAACTCGTGTGCATCAAACTAGATATTTATAACATGTGCATAATTAATTAATTTGATCTTAAATAAGTTTAATAAAGCAATCACACATAATAATTTTCTCATATATATCATATCAAATACAAACTTCATTGTGAATCGATGCAATATCAAAAATGATTCTATAAAAGCATTCATATATAGTGTTTTAGAACCATATTTCATTATATTTTTGAAAAAATGATCTCAATCCACATCTAATCATCTACCATTTTAACATTTTCTTTGACAACCAAGTGAGTCATATAAACTCTTCATGATATCCAATAATATTAAATCAATCAATTTTAATGCAAATCGATATGTATATAATCATTTGAGCAAATATAATGACAAAGAAAATTCTCAAGAATGTTTACAAGTTTTTTATCATCTGAATCTTTTTGAGATTTTTAAATAAATACCACTTTAGAGAGAGCCATATAAATAAACTAACATTCATTACATGCATATCATATTTTTTATACTACTAGACTAAGAACATATCAAAAGATAATTTCATACATCTTGAGACCCATAATGTAGTGAAACACATGTTGGATCATTGTAAAATATTTTTATATTGAAAGTCAAGCTTTGCATATATTTCTTATTTGTATTGGTATAAATGCTCATGTATAATATCACACCTTAAGTTCTTGCATCATAAATTCATAACTTCAACGTCATAAACAAGCGAATGTAATTATACTTACATCTTTTTTCTCTAATATGATTAACTTTCTATCCAAATTCTATCAAAATCCTCATTCTATTGTAATTTTTTTATTCTCACATATTGAAAGTGTTGTTGATAACTTTATGTCTTTTGATTCCATCATATCTCATATTGACATAACTTTTGGGATGTCTTTATTGTTATTAGTTACCTAATTCTCTTCTAAGGACTTCAATTCAGTTATATCTTAATCTTTTCTATATTGTTAGCTCCTTAATTGATCATCTTGATTATATGCTACTTTTTTTCCTTGTATAAATTTTATATAGTTGGAACTAATTTTCCTTTCACGCTTAAATCGTGATTCAATTTTTTCTTTCTCTGTATGTTGGAGCAATGTCAGCTAGAATATAAATTTAGTAATTCTTCTTTATGTCAACATTTACTTTTGGCAATTTTTTTCTAATATTTCATGAATCAATGTCATATGGACTTTTATGTTTCATGTATAAATGAGGATCTATATGAGACATAGAGAATATATTCATTTATTTTCATTTCTAGCTATTCATTATATGAGATATAGAAAATACATTCATGTACTTTCATTCCCACCTATTCATCTTTCCCCCTAATTTTGGGATAAGAAACCATGTAATGTAAGTCTTCTGTATCCATTTATTTTTTTTTATAAAAATATTATTTGTTTCACTTAGGAACAAACAAGAAGTAGAAGATCTTACCCAACATTTATTTCCAACTTTTTTTGAATATCTATTTCATATGTGATTATGGTGAAGTTTGCATAATCAAAACTTTGACTCTTGATAGCAAGCCAATTTCATGGGGCATGTGCTACACTTTATGGGTTAAGGTGCAAATATAACCATCGGATTTCCAAGCAGGTACACCTCATATTCCTAATTTTTAACATAATGCCCATTTTAAATTTAGTACAATGTGGCCTTGCCATTAATGTTTGATTATGTTTACTCCCTTATTCAAAAATATAAAGCATTTTTAACCGAATCTCACCTCTAATAAAGTAGTTATCTATTTTTAAACTAACCCTATCTTTTCATATTTATTCTTATTAAACACTCACAATAAATATAAAGTCATTTATTAATAGGGATACTTTAAAAAAAAAGTCATAATTATACTTTGAAAGATTAAAAATGGCTTATATTTTTAAACATCTAACTCCTTAAAAAATGGCTTACATTTTTTAATGGAGGGAGTACTTAAAAATACTAGAAGCTCCTATGCACTCATATTTAATACATTTATTTGTTATTTATTTATCAAGTCCATGATGTTATCCATCCTTCCTCAATCCATTAGTATTTCACATACTTCCAACAATTATGATTTAGAACTCTCTGGAAAGCTTATGATGTATACTTTTCAATGCAACAAGAATTAGTGAAAAATGTTGTCATTTGCTCTTCAAAATATGATAAAAGAAATTATTTTTCCATCCATACACTCATCAATTTTCTTAAATAAGCATGCTCAAAGAATTCTTTATATATATATATATATATATATTCTAGAACATGTCTAAATTATGTGGTGTGTTACACTAATAACGTGTTACAAAAGATTGGGAGGAGAAGAGAGGAAATTTAAAAAGAGAAGAGAATGTGAAAATTGAGAATAGAGATTTTTTTTTAATTTGGGTGGGCAGAGTACAATTGAGATGTTAGAGTATTTTATAAATTTATAAGACCTTTTAATAATAAATTCTCTTACCTAAATGTAATTTTTTATTTTTTTTGTTATCTATCCTATCTGCACAATTTTTTTTTTTCATAACTCATCTTATGTGGCATTGGCCAATGGTAAAGCTACGTGTATAAACAACTTGTTTTGTTCTTTTTATAAAGGAGAAAACCGTTGACACCCAACTCACTTTTTTAATCTATTATCACTCACTTCATCTCATTTTATAAGATATTTTTAATGTAATTTAATGTTTCAAAATATAAAATATTTTTTAAAAAAATATTGACAATGGTTATTCTAATATTTCATCTTATTGTTTCACTCTTTAAATAAATTTCCTTCCCCTCCTCTCTTATTAATTTTGATAGTTTATAGAAAAGTTAAGATTATAAACCATATTTTTAAAATCATTTATTTCTAAATCCAACCTTTTCACAACAACATAGTTTTTAAAATTATTATTTTTAATTCATGATTTTTAAAATATTTAATCACAATCATCAGGCATGTAATTTTTTTAAAAAAATTATTACATTTTTATTTTTATATGAATTTGAATATTTTTAAATAAATCAAAATTGCATCCTTGAGTTTAGATCTCCACTCCGCCGCTGCCACTGGCGGTGTTAAAATTGCTTAGTTGGCAGCCTTATCAGTGCCTCGTCGGATAAAATAAAATGAGAATAATTTTTAAGAATGACATGTAAATTTTATAAATCTTGCTGGCAAAAAAAAAAAAAAATTGTGGGTCAAATAGGGTTCAGACTTCAGACTGAGAGTGAAGACGGTGGCGAGAATTTCATCACCAGCACTATCCTCCTCCTCCGTTTCCGCCGCCTTACCCGCCACCTTAGTGAGGAACCTTCCAAGGCATCTCCAGCTACCCTCCGGCGCCTCAACCCGCGATCTGCTACCGTCAGTCGGTCCCATCTCCTGGCGTCATCAATCCATCTCCTGGTCATTATCATCCTCATGGCTGCTAAGTGGTTTCACCGGGTATGTTTCTACGCGTCCGCTTCCCTTTTGTTTTCTATTGATTAGTTGTCTTTGTGGGTTTGACTGGTGCTTGGTGATCAATAGTACTGACTTTTTAATTCGAAATTTCTTTGATTTGATGCATCATTTGAAATGGTTTTAGTTGTGGTCGAACCAGCTTGTTGCTACGGAATGATTTCGATTCAGTTTGTTGGGTCTATTTGATTTGGGTAGTTTAATTTACAGGGTTTCATGCTATTTATGTTTTCTCACTTTAGCCAACTAAGCAATTTTAACTCTGTAGACTCTTTTTTTTTTTTTAATATTTTACAGATAAGGATGGGTGGAAAAAACGGGGAAAAGTATAAGGACGCCACTGAGTTAAAGTATGAGGACTGGGTTACATACTTGATGAACTTATTAAAGATTAAAAAATTAATTTTTTCTTGAAAATATTACTACAAACCAGATTATTGTGGAATATTTTGGCCCAAAAATGAGAAAGGGGGGAAGCTTCCCCAAAAAATAAAATGTAAGAAAAGCTACGTGAATAATTTTGAATGGAGAAGAAGGATACCAATGTCGCAAGCCACCAAAACGAGAAAGCATTAGAAATCCCTAAATTGCAAACCACCTTTCATTGAACAGCTCTCGGCCGTGCTAAGTTGGTGTAAGATTTGCTGCAACATCAAACTTCTTGATTTTCACTTCGGTGGCTGAGGAGAGTACAGAGATGAAGTTCTTCAAATGTTTCACTCTATAAGGTTAGTGCATGTGCTGTTCAATATTGAAAATCTGAAACTATTGCTCTAAAGTTATGCTGAATTCCGGCATACGCAATTATGTGTGTAGCTGTGTTTGAATGGACCAATCAAGTAATAGGATAACACCCATGCTTGTAATTTGAACTAGTAGTTTATCTGGGTTTTCATGGAAACCAATATTCCCAATTTGGCAAATCTTCTTCAGCTTTGCATCAGCAAGAAAGCTCTCCTAGCAGGTAAGATTCTCCATGCACGAATCTTCCGTCTGTCCCTTTGTTCTGACACCCTTCTCTCCAATCACCTAATTGAACTGTATTCCAAGTGTGATGATGTTAATGTTGCCTATCGTGTGTTTTGTAAAACACCTCAAAGAAACATATATTCCTGGAATGCCATCTTGGGTGCTTATTGTAGACATAGCAACTTGCGGGATGCCTATACATTGTTTCAACAAATGCCTGAAAGGAACACTGTATCATGGAACACTATGATTAGCACAATGGTACGAACTGGATTTGAACAGCAGGCATTGGATACTTTTGACTTAATGATGTTGGAAGGAATTAAGCCCTCCCATATTACATTTGCTAGCATATTTAGTGGATGTGGTGCTTTAACAGATGCTGAGTTTGGCAGGAAAAGCCATGGTCTTGTGGTCAAGGTTGGTCTTGACAGGAATCTGTACGTTGTCAATGCTCTTTTGTTCATGTATAGTAAGTGCGGGCTTGCCAGGGATGCAATGCATATTTTTAGGGACATACCTGACCCTAATGAGGTTTCTTTTACTACAATGATGGGTGGATTAGCTCGGACAAATCAGGCAAGAGAAGCTTTTGAAATGTGTAGGCTAATGTTAAGAAAAGGTATTCATATTGATTCTGTCTCATTGTCAACCATCTTGGGTATCTGCTCAAAAGGAGGATTTGAGGAAATTGGTCTCTATGTTCAAAATTATGGCCTCCCACCTACTGTTTTGGGCAAAGAAGTACACGCACTTTCAATTAAACTAGGATTTGAAAGAGATCTCCACTTGAACAATTCACTGCTTGATATGTATGCAAAAAGTGGAGACATGGATAGTGCTGAAAATATTTTTACTAATTTGCCTCAACTGAGTGTTGTTTCTTGGAATATAATGATTGCTGGATATGGAAACGTGTACAACAGTGAGAGCGCTTTAGAGTATCTGCGAAGAATGGGATCTTATGGGTTTGAACCAGATGACGTTACTTATATTAATATGCTAGCAGCATGCATCAAGTCTGGGAATATTAGTACTGGGCGTTATATATTTGACAGCATGCCATGCCCAAGTTTGACTTCATGGAATGCTATGCTCTCGGGCTACATCCAGAATGCATATCACAAAGAGGCTGTTGAACTATTTAGAAAAATGTTGTTCCAAGGTGTACGTCCTGATCGGACTACGTTGGCTATTATTCTCACTTCATGTGCTGAAATAGGACTTAATGTTGAGGGGAAACAAGTTCATGCATACTCACTAAAGTTTGAATTATATAATGATCTGTATGTTGCCAGTGGTCTTATCAATGTTTACTCAAAATGTGGGGAAATGGAATTGGCAAAGCATGTATTCTGCAAACTTTCTGAACTGGATGTTGTTTGTTGGAACTCAATGATAGTGGGGTGCTCAATCAATTCTCTTGACCAAGAATCTTTCTGTTTCTTTAAGCAGATGAGAGAATTTGGCTTCACTCCTTCTGAGTTTTCTTATACTAACATATTAAATTCATGTGCAAAACTTTCTTCCTTAAAGCAAGGACAGCAGATTCATGCACAAATAACAAAAGATGGCTTTGTAGATGACATATTTGTGGGGAGTTCTCTTATTGAAATGTATTGTAAATGTGGAGTTGTGGATGGAGCCAGGTGTTTTTTCAATATGATGAAATTTAAAAACATTGTTACTTGGAATGCAATGATCCATGGTTATGCGCATAATGGATGTGGTGTTGAGGCTGTTTGGCTTTACAAGGACATGATCCAATTGGGTGAAAAGCCAGATGATATTACTTTTGTAGCTGTATTAGCGGCATGTAGTCATTCTGCTTTGGTTGATGAAGGTGTTGAAATATTCAATTCAATGCAGCAAAACTTTGGAATTATGCCAATGGTAGATCACTATACTTGCATTATAGATTGTCTGGGTCGTGCTGGCCGGTTCAATGAAGCAAAAGTCATTCTAGATAGTATGCCATGCCAAAATGATCCAGTCATTTGGGAGGTTTTTACTGAGCTCATGTCGTATTCATGCTAACCTGGAATTAGCAAAAAGAGCAGCAGAGGAACTCTTTCGATTGGATCCTCAAAATTCTGCTTCTTATGTGCTTCTTGCCAACATGTATTCTTCTGTGGGAAGATGGGATGATGCAACACGTGTTAGAGATATGATGAGTGACAAACAGGTACGTAAGGATCCTGGTTATAGCTGGAGTGAATTCAAGAATGAGATGGAGGACAGTAATTGTGATGGGTTGGGGTGCAATGTCATTTAGGGGATGAGATTTCTTTATCATAAATGAAATCAAGGCACTTCTGCAGAGGTTTTAATGACTACTGCAAGGGGGGATTAACGCTTCCCCCTCAAAGTTGATAATGGCTAGTTCGATGCAGTGAATTCTCCATGTGGGTCCTCAATAAACTTGAGTTGGATTCCGGATTGTTGCTCGTTTGCAAAACTTGGCATGGAATCTACATGACGGTTTTGATCCCTTGAAGTTTGAGATGTAACACTTCTCTTTCAATAGCTGAAAAGTACTTCCATACTCATTTGGGATTGCGCTACCTAGACATTGTGAGTTCAACAGCATGGAGACTATTTGCTTGGGGAATATATGTTGCCCTGGGGAGAATAGATAATTGGTGATATCTTCATGCAGGGATACAGATGTCCTTGTCTCCAATCATTGATGCCAATTTAGAGCTTTGCCTTCCCAACACCGTGGATGTGTAGACTTTTCTCTCCCTTGAAAACTCCTTAAAAGCTCACATCTTCCTTCAACACTCCACTTCCCCCCCATGACTGAGAATTGTTTTCTAGTCCAGACTATCACTCCTGCACTTCCATTCTGGCTATTATCAGTACCACTCTAGCCACACTCAAACTGTTAAATGATAGAGAACCTTCCTAAGATACCAAGTAGTTTACTAAGCAATATCAGAAATATAGAGATCTATCTCTGAATTTGGTAGAAATCCAACGCACAGACCCAGTCCTAGATCCAGGAATAGCAGAAAAATAATATAACCAACAGATTATAGTCTCTAGGATTCAAGGCGGGTCCTGGTAGGTTTTCCAGGCCAATGCCACTCCCCTCCCCTCCTCTTTTCTCATTTCATTCTTTCCCAAATCCTCCCAACAGTCTGCCCCCTGAAAAGTGCAAACTCTTGCAAACAGCCAAGTGTATTTCTATATTATTTCACCAATCATGCCTGTAACACCCTTGCACCATCTGATCTGCATCCATGCCTATTCCTCTTCTAGTGTACCTTAGCAATTACTCTTCATTCTCAATAAAAACATTTTTGACATTAAATCTGACAAAGTCAAGAAGTTGAGGTTGGGTTGATGGCACAGATATGTAATAAGATGAGTGAAAGTTTTGGTTTTATACTGCCTGAGACGGCAGAAAAAGTGTCATAGACATATTGCTGTTTTCTCAAATTATGGGGACTGCTGTTCTATTACCACTTCCAAGGATTTAGGCTCTTTTTCTTTTCAATATATCCCCCCCCTTTTTTTACTGTGGCTTGATAAATGCAGACCGTTCGATTTTTTTTTCCACATGGCATTTTACCATCTGCACATCTTGTTAGATTCTTGTTAGGCCATTTCGCCTTGTTATTGGACTGCATGATTGAGTGAAGTGTCACGTGTTAAGCCTGTAATCTTTTTCTTAAATGTAATAATCTTGACCCAACATCAGATGGATCATTTGGAAAAACAGTGAACGAATCGTTGAAGGCACTAAAAATATCTACTGGAGTGTCTTCTGGCGTTGCCTCAGCTTCATCTTAAGCTTGCAATGGTATTGCAGAGGCTTACGCTTAACCACGCAGCCTTTCTTTGCTTCAGTGTTTTCACAAAAATCAGTACCTTTTTTTCCCTTCGAATGATACTAAAATTTATCTATGAAATGTAGACAGTACGTGGAAACACATGATTCACAGGCTGTGGAAATATAAGAGACCTATTTTAGTTTTACGTAAGTTTTGAGAATTTTACCGTGGCATAGCTCTACAACATTAAGAACACGAAATATCCTTTTTGTTATTTCTAAAGAAAGAGATCAGAATTTTTTTTATTATTATTATACACAAGTGTCTTTTAGTGATATTTTAATTAAGTGTAGCTAAAATGTATGATAATACTACCAATTATTTTTATACAAAAGAAGTCTAATTAGTAATTACAACTCTTCATTTCTTAGTTCGGAGCTCTGGATCATGCTGTTAGACTACTGGTAAATGAAAGAAGACTGTACACGTACAATGAATGATCAAATTTGGTGTCAAAACTCAATCTGATTTTGAGTGGCCCGTGGTCCACACCATATCATTGATCTAGATTTAATAAAATTTTATTTCATACTTTTAATAATTTAAAATTTTTATAGGGGCATAATCTAAAATAAATATGATTTTTAAATAATTAGTATGTCAAAAAATGAAACTTTTATTCAATAATTATCAATTAAAAAATTTAAATATGAACCATTAAATTTTGACTTAGACAATTCAAATCTCACAATAACAATGAGCGTCTTGGTGCTCATCCCAAAATTAGGGATCCAATGGATCAAATTGGATGATTGATATTTGATTAAAAAAATTATATTTAAAAACTATTATTTAATAGGTACAGAATTAAAATAACGATAATCTTGTAATTGTTATTCTAGCAAAAAAAAACATAATTTTTATATGAAAAATTACAAATTAAAAATTTTAAATCTAAACTATTAAAATTAATTCTAAATGTTCCAAATTTCACCACATTGATTAGCACTGAAAATTATCACCAAATCTGACGCACAAGATGATGGAATATGAAAATCGTATGTTCGTTTATAGGCTCACACACACACACAATTGACTTGATCATATATATGATTTGTAAAAAGTATGTTATATAAGACATGTTTAGAAATACATTTGTCAAAGACAAAATTATGGTTTTGGCGTTGGGAAGTAGGTCACTGCCTAATGGCTAAGCCATTTGCCAATAATTTATAAAAAGGCTTGGAGCCACAAGCCATGTTTTCTGTGAGAGATTTCAGTGATAAACTAGTCATGGAATCTAGTCAGAACATTTAATAATATTTTATTTTTAGTCTCATAATTTTAAAAAAAATATATAATTATTGATTCTTATAATTTTAACTTGTTTTGAGATAGGTTTTTATAGTTTTTGTATTACTCCAAGTCTCTTTATTTTATCTCGTCTATAACATTAGTTCCATTGTTTTTGAATATGCCTAGAAAAATGATCATATAACACTAGTGGTATTAAATATAATGACTTGTAACTAGCACTATTAATTTGTGCTAAGATAAAATTATAATTCAACAGATTAATATTGTTACCCACATAGCTTTGTTTTATGTTTCAATTTATTGAATCATAATTCACCTTAACACAAGGATTATTGACATTAGCCACAAGTCTAACATATTTAATATTATTAGTATTACCTTGTTGTTCTTTTAAATATATTCAAAAATAAAGGAACTATCATTGTAAACGAAATAAACTAGAAGGACTTAAAACAACAACAAAAAATTACAGAAACCTATATCAAATTACATTAAAATTACAGGGACCAATATTCCTTGTAATTTTAATAGTTTTATTGTAACTGGAATAAGGCATGATGGTGTTTTCTTTGGTTAATAAGAGTATAATTAAAATATTGAGAATTTTTTTTTTTTTTACTTTTTTGAGTCATTCTTTTAACAAATAAAACAATATAACAACTTTTCTTCATCTGTACATAAAAAATGTTTGCAAAAAATTATATAAAGGAGTGGAGGGACTACTTGACAGGTTTACGGGCTTAGAGTCTGTTTATGCCTTATATGCTCACATGCTTTTTTTTTTTTCCAATTTTTTTTCTCATACGACAAATAGCATTACTAAACATTAGGGCTGTGCAAAAGTCTTCCAGTCCTGTCTGGTCCAATCCAACCCGAGATGGTCTCAGTCTTGTTCGGTCTGTATAGTCACTGGTCCTTCAGGACCAAAAGGACTAAAAAGACCAGACTATTTTTTCGGGTTGGACTGGACAAGAGACCAGGCATCCGGACCACTTGGTCCAGTCCAGTCCTATTAATTTTTTTTATTATAATTATAATTAATTTATTTTTGACAAATGTTTAAAGTGTAATTGATGCTAAGGAGATGATTGCATAAAGATTTATTAAGTTTGTTTCTAAATTGTTATTGTAATATAGTGTTGTTGAATTTTTGAGTACTGTTTTTGTTAAAGTTTATAAATTTAAATAATTTAGACTATAACAAAAATTTTTTTTCTTATTGTTAGAAATTATTATGGATTTATTATTATTATAAGTATTTTTACTATCTTAATTGAGTTTATTATGTTGGAATGGATTATTGCCTCCCATAGAATAAAAAGAGGGAAAAAAAGCTAAGTGAGTACTGGACTGACAGGACTAGTCTCCCAGTCCTATGGACCAAGTCCGGTCCTGTTAATCTTCGGGTTATCACTGGACAAGACTGGACTACGGGTTGCCTAACCCAGTCTTTTTCATGAAAGAGACCGGACTTCGGGTTAGGGTGAAGTCCAGTGCCGTCCTATCTTTTGTGCAGCCCTACTAAACATACAACAAAACAGCACACAAATGCCCATAAATATTAAATTATTTTTTATTATTATAATCAAATACAAAATAAGAATAAACTATATTACGATATATAATTTATTTTTTTAAAATCTCTAAACAATAAATCACTTCTCATAAAACTTTTAAACTACTGAAAATTACTTATTTTTTAAATTTAATAGAATAAAATTCATCATATACGAAAAATTAACTAATTTCATGGTTTTTAAGGAATGATAATTATCATTATTAGAAAAATTGCTGGTAGACCAAGAGTACCACTTTATCTATATTTTATTTAATAAAATTGTACTAATTCAATTAAATAAAGTATTATATGTCACTGTTTTTAATAATTTCTTTTACAATAGAGTGCCTCTTTAATTTTTTACATTTTCTCATACTACTATCATCATAATTAAGGGGAGAGAAAGAATGCAAGAAATTAAAATAATTTAAAGAGGCATAAATGAAGGATAACATACATGTAAGATTAAATGAATTTGACATGGTACATTTTTTGGATATCACTCCCTTCTATCCCTATTATAAAATAACTTCTAGAAGCATTTTTTGATTCTTAATATAAGGCATACTATGTGGTATTAATTTTTTTTCAATATTACCCCTATTAACTATACAAAAGAATATAATGTAAATTTGAAATTTTTTTCATTTAAATAGGGATGAAATTAAAAATTTATTCTATTTTTTAACAAATTTAATAACTTAGTACCTCTCATTAGTTATAATGACATAGTTGGAGGTGCTTTATTTTAGGAATCAAAGGGAATATACAAATGATGCACAAAGTTTAAGCAATAATTTCTTGCTATTATTAAACTTGTAAAAAATGTTTATCTTTTCAATTTTTCCCTTCGCTAAAATTAATTTCCACAATAAATTTGTCTCGAAATTACAATTTTGGTGCAACTAAGAAAGGACAATATTAAAAAAATTAACTACTCCTCCTTTTAATTTTATTTATAAATTGCTTTCAACATTCTCATCAGAACTAAGAAAATATTGACTTTATCTAAAAATCCAACAAGTTTCCAATTCTTTGCTTTTATTAAATACACACAGACACACACTTTAAAAATAAAATATTCTAGCATCCAATAACCTCTTATTTAATTAGAGCAAAATGATAAAAATAAATACAAATATTTTTTCTTTGTTCTATAAATTTGACCAGAGGAGTACATATTTAGCATATATTTATGACTAAATAAAATTTTAAAATTTTAAGAAAAACATAATATTTGATTTTTATAATTTTATCAAGTTTTACTTTTAGTCCTTGTAATTTTTTTTAATATTTTTGGTCCCCTTAAAGACTAAAATTATTAAAAAAATAAAATTATAGAGACATGAAAAAACAAAGATCATTCAATCTTTTTGAAACTATAAGAAAAAAAAAACTATAAGGATTACAACTAAAACTCAATAAACTATAAGAATCAAATATTTTTTTAAATTTTATAATATAATTAAAACAGGAGGGTATTCGTAGTTTAGAATTAGAATTCATACAATTCTGAAAACTCTCTTAGACTTTGACATAAAGGTCGTGCTTTAAAGATTGTAGAAATTGGATATTGTGTGGACCCAAGGTCAAATGTCAGAAGCTATTGGACACGTGAGGATTTGGGAAGTGAAACTAAAGACTACGTCCGTCTAAACCTTATTTTTTCTTCTTTTGACGTTGATAGCCACTAGATTTTAGTCATCGTGACATAGGGAAAGCGAATAAACTAAAAAAAATTGGGAGAACTCCACTCAATTTTTAAACAAGAAAGTTAATTATTTTTTCAGTTTATTTATAAGTTAAATTCTATATTTACTTTGACAAAAAAATTTATATTCACTTGTATAAAAAAAATTTCTCTATTTACATGTTAAGCTTTATTATTTACAAATGGAATGGACTTGTAATTAATTAGCCTTTTTGGTTAAGGTACAAAAATATCTAAAAATTTGAGAACCACCTTCAAGAGCATTTTCAAATGCCCCTAAAGCATTGTTTTTTAAGTGTCGAAAAGCTCTTGGAATTTTTTTTTTTAGTGTTTTTGTACCTTAATTCTAGTATTTTTACCTAAGACTCATGTAATTGTTAGATTACGTTGTTGACAGATTGGCCCGAGTGAGCAAGGGCCTAACTTGAATTAAATCATTATTTGTTTAATTAAATAATTATCATAGCATTGGTTACCGGAAAATGCAGTAATTATGTAATGCTTAAAATCCCTGTAGGGAAATATGGGAAGATGTTCAACATTTTGAACAAATGATTAAAAAAAAAATTACATATAAGTCATGTGAAATTATTTATAAATAAATCATGTAAAATTTTAAAACTATAATTAAATTTCTTAGGATTTGAGTGTAATTTAAAATTAGGATAAAAAATAACAATGCCCTTATTGAACATATATACATTACATCAGTTAAATAATTTATAACTATTTTATCAATAATTTATAACTATAACTTCAACTTTTTATAACTGTAACTTCATATATTTAATAATTAAACTGATTAATTTAATTATTGAATATATAAAGTTATAATTATAAAAAGTTGAAATTATAATTATAAATTAGTTAATTATATTTTTATTAGATGGACCACAAATAATGTTGTTTACCTAAGTATTTCTCTTCTACCTATTGCTCTTTTTTTTTTTTTTAGCAAACAACCTATTGCTCAAATGAAGTAAATGTTAGGCCATGTTTGGTATCATTAAATTGACAAGGTGGAAATAAAATTAGAGATGAAATCCTAATCTAAGCATGCAGGAGTTATAATTTTTAAGAATCTTAATTCCACCAAAAATGTTAGAATTCAATTTCATCATATTGATCATGAAATTGTTTCAAATCCCTTAAATTCATTTTATGAACCCCACTACCCTCATCTTTTTTGTCCATTTATGATAAGGTAGGTTTTTTTAATTTAAAAAAAAAAGGCAATTTGATCTTTTCTTATTTTAAATACATATATTAATTAATATTATATTAAAATTTCATATTCATACCAAATACACTTTTAAAATTTAATTTTATTTCGATTTGAATTTTAATTTTAATTTTGATTCTATTAAAAATTCTTTTATATTATATCAAACGAGACCTAGAGGATCTTGTTTTTCCGAAATAAATTAATCCCGGAACTTCTATGAATGTAGAAGATCTATCAAATAATCATCAATGGAAATGCTCGGTGCTTCTCCTTGTGTATGCCCATCACTCATTCCATCCCATATACCGCCGCCGCCGCCGCTCGAGTCCCACCAGAACTCGTCATTCATCTCTCTGTTTTCTCTCTGCTCATCACCAGTCTTCTCATTCTTCACTTCTGCTTCTACAATCCTCCGCGCATCGACAGCCATGCCGGCATTCGAGGCCGCCTCCTGCACCGACCTTGGCGACATCTCCCTCGGCTGCCGGACATAACAAGGAGGCAGCATCCCCGGGAGGTTGAGCTTGTCCAACGACGCCGGTCTCCTCAGACAGTAGTAAGCCACGTCACGAGCCACCGCTGCCGCCTCCGGCGAGGCAAACGTGCCCAGCCACAGCCGCTCCTGCGACCCAGGGACTCGAATCTCCGACACCCATTTGCCCCATTTCCGTTGCCGGACTCCCTTGTACTTGACGGCTGCGTCCCTGCAATTGCTCCTGCTTGCATTGTTGTCGCCGGAGCTGCAACTCATTAAGCCAGAAATGGGGATGTGGCCGCGCGTGGGTTGTGAGTGCAAATTATGAACGGAAATATTGTGAGCTTTCGTGAGGAGAAGCAGAGCAGAGGGTGCTTATAAAGGTTGAAGATAATGTTTGACTTTGAAGAAGCGAGAGGGTGGATCGTTGAGGATGGAATTTGAAATACAAAGTCAAAATTTTCAAAGGTCAAAAGCAAAAATGCTTAGCCCCCCAACGACTGATGTAATTAATAATTAAAACATGTTGATTATTTCGCATTGAAGATAATTTTTCTTTATTATCTTTTAAATTAGATATTTTTCCCACCTAAACGACTATTGAAATAACCTCCACTATTAATCACAATTAACCATTCAAATTCATGTTAATCAAGGGATTACTTTTTATAGAGATTACTAAGTTTTAATTTCAAATCAAGGAATCCTAAGTTTTCATCAGTTAAATGAAGTCAAAACCATTCATTAACTCTTAAATTAGAGTAAAAACAAATCATGAAAATATGAGATACCTTAGAGGAGTAAAAAAGAAGTAAAAATAGTTAAAAAGCATCAAGTTTGTTAAAAAACAGAGCTATATGCCGTGGCGTATTGCACGTTTTCTTGATAGCTAATTCTCCTATCATTTGATAGCAGAATTGAGGAATTTTTGACACATCACAATTCTTTGTCTGACGTCCGAATGACATGATTTAGGTGTTTATAAAAAAAGTCTTCTTATGAATTAGCTAATGACATAGGTTTTACTCTCAAAATAAGCCACACTAGAGAGTTGGACACCTAAACTTATTCTTACCACTTTTCACAACTTTTGACAACAAAAGGGTGTCAATCTAAAACAAGTGTTAAATATCTTTTCTAACACCCAGATCATATTTATTAAACCTAAGATTACTAGTGCAACAGGTCACATGCATTTATTTACTAGTATAACACAAAATTACTCTTCAACCCCTTTAATACCAAAAATAGAAAGGGGAGGTAATTTAATTGCATTACCTCAAAAACTAGTTATATCATGTTCATAACAACATTTCTATACTTGTACTAGTATTTTGGCCTTATCAACATATAAAACTCATCATATACAAATGCTTAGGGCCTAAAATACAATTCAAATCATTTAAACAACTTATAGTACAAGTGTGAACAAAATGCACCTTAGAATTGACAATAATATTTTATTACACCAAATGAATGTAAACTAGAGGCAAACAGTAAGAAAATACTAATTTCTAAGCCTCCTAAGCTTTCTCCCTCTCTGTGTCAGAGCTAAAGCCTGTAAAATATTAAAGAAGAAGGATAAGTCTAACCACTCAGTAACCAAGGTAAAACCTACCCTATACAATTATATATTAATTGTAATCAAACACATTCATATGAAACCAAGTTCTTAAAATATCCCTAAACACGTATCATAACTTATTATTCCAATTAACACATTTACATCTCACACATGCTGGGTACATAGTCACAAAACACTCTGACATGTGACCATAATCTGATATATCATATGACTTGCCACAACTTAAAACGTGTAACACATCATATAACTATATAGGCAATGATCAACTAACCTTATACCCTCCTTATTTTCTCCGACTAAAATCGTGAGTTATAACACTAAATAGGGCTCCGTCCGTGTGATTGAACTACCCAAGCTCACCAATCGTGAGGTGTGATCCGACCAAAGATCACAATGCTCGCTCTCAAACCACAGTTTTTCCCACTCTCAAATCTATAGGGTGTCGTATATCCTAGGCAAATTATCCTTGATAAACTGGTAGAAATAACTAGGTTCTAGTTTGTCGACAAACTATGGAACAGTTCCTTAACAAATTGTAGGATAAGGCTACACCCCCATACCTTAAAAGACAGCTTAAATGCCATATAAATTCTCTCTACTCCTAATCCCTATGTGAACTCCTGCTCACTGATCATGCCATGTACAATGCTTACTTTTATTCACATTCTTATTTACTTATCACCATAATCATCATGTTGGGCTCACGACTGTGCATTACCCAAGTAAGCACCAATACTTATTTTCACATACATTTACTACTTTCAAACTCAACACATACATCTTTGTCAAGATTTATCATCAACTATTCAATTTCACAACGCTTTGCAAATTGCCACCCAATTCAAAATCACTTTTGCACTTTAAAGCTCATTTCACAATCATTTCTATATCTGTTCTTCACATCAAGGCAATTATGCAAACACATAGCCTCATAGCATATTACATAAATTCACATGTCAAACACATATTTTACATCATATTGCAATTAACATATAACTATCCAAAGCAAGATTCTCTCAGTTACCTCAAACTTTTGAGATGTCAGAGGTTTAGCCCCTCAATATTATAGCTTCCAAGCTTAATTCCCAAGCTAAATTGGTGTTCAAGAGCTTAATCTACAATTATCAATTCCTTAACTCATCAATATTGCCAAACACACACATTTCAACTCTCATTTTCTACTGTTAGATTACCCAATGCTCACATTATTGATGTTTGAGCCTATCCATTAAGTTTATTAACTCTCTTTAATCCCTAAATACATTATTGAACTATTAAACTCCCATTAATGGCATTATAACTCTTCCAACAACTGTTATTAACGTCATTTTCACATAATAATGAGGCCCAACCACTAAAAGTGCCAAAACTAAATATATCTAGGTTTAAATACTCTAATCTACTCTCATTAATTTCATTTGAGTCAATGGATTTATACCCATAACTTATATGGATTGAAAAATCATCTCCCACTATCAAACCCTAATAAAAAAAACTCATAAATGTGAAAGAAAATGAAAGATTAATGAATATGATACTTACCTTTGGTGTTTGTAGATTTCAAAATATTCTTAATGTTGTCCAAGAGTAAACCCTAACAAAGCTTGGTTACTTGTTCTCATTCTCTCGTTCTTTTCTCTCTATTTTTCATCTCAGTTTTATAACTTATTTTTGCAGAAAGAGGCTGTACACCGTTGTGGACACTGAATGTGTCGTGGTGCATGGCATAGAAAGATCTCCTCTCCTTTCAGTATTCCTCTATGCATTGTAGCAGATGAGATTCACGCCGTGATATATGCCACAACAATACTTAATCTTTATTTTCTTCTACTTTCGATACTCAGGTGGTTCGACTTCACATTGAACCTACAATTATGGCTGAAACACAATCAAAACTAATCATTAGACCCCCTAGCCACACACCAGATCAATTTACTTAATTATCATAATTAAACGTAGTCAATTCTCGAATTAAAATTCAGGATATTACAACTATGGCAAAAAAAAACACACAAAAAAATTTGGTAGAGACATTTTAATTGCATGATATATTGAACAAAATTTTTGGAGGAAGGGTGTAAAATTAAATTAAAACAAGGAGAAGTAACTTATTATTATAAGTTACTTTGTCTGATCATTATTATAAAGCATGTTAAACTATTTAACCGGAATGAAGAAATGAAACTTAACTCATTAAATATGTTTTAAAATATATTTTTTAAAATTTACCCTTATTAAAAATAGAGATAGAGAACTACATAGTATACAATTAGCCATAAAATTAAATTTATAACTAATAATAAATAACCCTCCATGTATCTTATATTGAGAATCAAAGAATTATTTTAGAAGGTGCCTTAAAATAGAGAACAGAGGGAGCACTTAGCATATAAAAATATACTCTCTTTTTCTCAAATTATAAAATATTTTTGGGAGATTTGACATTCTATAGACACTCTGAAAAAAAAAAAAGATTTCATTAATAATTTTTTTAATATTACTTTTTTTATATATTTTTTATTTTTAATATTCTTTTGCAAACAAAGTATTAAATGAAAGATTATCTTAAAAAATAAGGTTATAAAGTATATTTAATAAATTTTATTGGTATATGTAATTTTGTCTAAAAAAATTATATAATTTGAAATAGATAGAGTATTATTGATTATGTTATTTCTGTTTTATCCCCTAAGCATTTTCTATGAATATAATAAGAGAACAATAGATTTTATTTTTTAAGACAATATTAATAATTTAATTATCTCTTGGTGAATTAAATAAGATAATTAGAAGTAGTTTATAATATAAATATGGGAAGAGTATTTGTGTTTTTGTAATATTAACACGAGGTCAAAATAATGAGGGTTTAATGGACGGTGGTCCCCAGGGCAGGGGTGTCTGAACTGTAGAACTTGATGAGGGGGAACCAGTTGGCTTAAATTAATGGAGTGTGTGAGATTATTCGATTTGATGGTTGACCGCCTCCAAATGGTTGACCCCTTTGAGGCCGTTCAGTGCTAAACGTGTCTGAATTGGGATCACACTCATTTGAATGATTTGATATGAACAACACCATCACCACAATTGTTTCGGAATGTCGGGGGATAACTTGGTCTCACAAGGCCCGCGTGCGTTGTACACACGCCTTAAACCAACACTGCATGCCTTCGTGTATATATATACTTCCTTTATTTAAAAATATAAAATATTTTTAAAAAATTAAATATTTAAAGATATAAAATATTTTTAATCTTTTAAAGTATAATTATTATTTTTTAAAAAAATACTATTATTGATAATAATTTTATATATTGTAGGATGTTTAATAAATATAAATATAAAAAGATAGGGTTACTTTAAAAATAGATAACTACTTTATTGAAGATAAAATTCAGTTATAATGATAGGAACAGTTGAGAACATGGATTAATTTGTAAAGATAAATCCGAATAACTTGATATAAGGATTGAGTTAGGTTGAAAAAATTAAATTAAATAAAAAATAAATCTTTTTCTGACTTGGAAAGAATAACCCGTAAGCCTAATAAATAGTTTTAATGAATTAAGATTGACCTATTTAACCCCTATTATTTATAAAAAAAATTCAAAAAAATTGAAGAATAAAAAATGAAGGGAGTTTTGACGTCACAAAACCCACAAATACAAGAGAATATGGAATAGATCATGAAAATGTTGATTATCATTTTGGTGTAGTTTTTTAAAAAGTCATGTAAAAAAAATTAAAGAGTTAATTGTGGATCAATTTTTTCTATCAATACACAAATAAACTATATGGCAACTCAAGCAAATATTCTTGGTATTATTTATAGTGTTAGTTGAAA